CCCATGCCACCATGTCCAGCCTATTTTTATTTAAATAAAGTTCTTTATCTGATCGGTGCTCTAAAGGCATTCTTTTATCCTTTATGTGGCACTGGGGATACAACCTAGGGCCTGTGTATGTTAGGCAAGCTCTCTACCACAGAACTACATCCCTATCCTGTAGAAGGCACTCTTCAGTGTGCTGTAAAGAAAACTCCAATTCAATTTCTGTATTTTTTAATCCTGCAGGAGGATATGCCTTAAAATTTCCAAGATCTGCTGGGCATGGAGGTGCATGCACACCTGCAATCCCACCACTGAGGAGCCTGAAGCATAAGGATCACCACAAATTTGAGGCCAGATGCTGCACGGTGAGTTTAAGGCCTACTTGAACCACAGTGAGACCTGTCAGAAAGAAAAGAAAAGAAAAGAAAAGAAAAGAAAAGAAAAGAAAAGAAAAGAAAAGAAAGAAAGAGAAAATAAGTAAATAAATAAATAAATCCCAGCATTTGGAAGCCTGAGACCAGCCTGGGATACGCCATGAGCTCAAGACCCACTTAAACTACATAGGGAGACCTTCTCAAAGGGAGAGAGAAAGGCCGGCCAGATAGCTCAGCAAACTAAAGCACCTGCTTAGGTAAGTGCAGAGACTGGGGTTCAATTCCTGGCATGCCATGCCAACCCCAGAGGCTGAAAACAGGAGGATCACTATGAGTCCAATCTGTGTAGTGAGACCCTGTAAACCCTGTACTAAAGAGACAGACAGGCCAAGTTCAAATCTCATCTACATTAAAAATATAATATATTTGAAAGAATATTAGTAAAATAATAACTTCTATTATCTGTAGTTAATGAGTTCAAAGTAGGTTTTCAACTTTTTCTGTATATACATACATATACATATATATAAAATTCTTTTCTTTTTTTCAGAACCAGGGATTGAACTCAGGCCCTTGCGCTTGTCAGGCAAGCACTTTTTCAACTGAGCTATCTCCCCAGTCCTAAAATTCTTGTAACTAAAAAGATTATGCTTTTTATGAAAAAAAAATTATCTCTAAGAAAAAAATAACACCAAGACAAAGAAACATACAAAACCTGGATGTGGTGGTACATGCCTGTAATTCTAGCACTTGAGAAGCTGAGTCAGGAAGATTGCTATGAATTGAAGGCCAGCCTGGGCTACAAAGTGAGTTCAAGACCAGCCTGAACTTAAAAAAAAAAAAAGTGGCCAGCCGAATAGCTCATCCGACTAAAGCGCCTGCTTAGGCAGAGCGCAGTCTGCCAGCCCTACCCCAGGAGTACGTATGCTGAGACTGGTGATTGAGACTGGGCATGGTGGCGCGCACCTGTAATCCCAGCGCTTGGGAGGCTTAAAATAGGAGAATCCCTAAGAGTCAGATCTATGTAAGACCCTGTTCACCCTGTACTAAA